TGACCTTCCCCGCCTCCTTTCAGCAATAATAGAGTCAACCTGATTTCCGTGCGCTCCATCATCTGCGTTGTTTAAAGACTGTGTTAGCAATGAATAAATCCCTGGATCAGCAGAAGCTGATACGCTGTTCTCCTGCTTCGTTTCTGTTTCCTAGGCTGTACCGTCCCCACCACCTTTTCCTCTTTAATATTTCCAAGTTTGGTGTTCTGGGCAATGGGCACAAAAGACAGGCAGGGTTTGGATGGCAATGTCAGGGCTGCAACTGTGAGACCAGGCTACCTAAGAGGAAACAGGCACGGAAGCAGAGAGGACAAAAAGCCAGGAATCCGGTCTAAAAGATCGATTGATCTATTGTTTATTTATTAAACAAATGTATATAGCCACCTGACTCACGCACGGTGACTCTGGGCAGCTTACATAATTAAAATCTGCCCTCCCAAAAGCCCATCAACCCCACCCTGACCCCCACGGCAGCTACAAACGATCACGGATGATTGGAGCTGATCATCCACTTGATTGGCTCCGTATCAACCTGGGGTCCCCAGGCCCGCTGGCAAAACCACGTCTTCAGGGCCTTCTGGAAACGTATCAAGGTCGGGGCCAGTCTTATCTCCAGGGGAATGATATTCTATAGGGAGGGAGCCACCACAGAGAAGACCCTGTTTCATGGTCCCCGTAGATCAGTGTTTCTCAACCTCGGCGACTTTAAGATGGGTGGACTTCAGCTCCCAGAATTCCCCAGCCAGCAAGGAAACACTGCGTTAGATGTACTTCCCTCATCGACATGCTCTGACTCCTTGCTCTGGTGAGCTGAGTAGATGTAACCAGGGAAAGGCAGTCCTGCGAATGACCAGACCCCAAGCCATGTAGGGCTTTCAACGTGATAACCAGCACTGTGAATTGGACCCAGAAGCAAATCAGCAAGCATTGCAGCTCCTGCCAAAGAGGTGGCACATGCACCAATCTAGGCTTGCGCAAAAGTAAGTGGGCCGCTGTATTTTGAACCAACTGAAGCTTCTGGATACTCTTCAAGGGCAGCCCCAGGTGGAGCGCATTACAGTAGTCAAGACAGGAGGTGATTAGGGCACCGGTGACTGTGAGAAGGGCATGATGGTCCAGGAGTGGGCACAACTGGCACACAACTTGCAGTTGTGCAAAGGCCCTCCTGGCCTCGACTGCCACCAGCTCCTCGAGCAGGAGTCACGAGTCCAGGAGAACCCCCAGATTATGCACCACTTTGTCTAGGGCAGTGCCCACCCATCCACAGCCAAAGATGGTCATTCTCCAAGAACCAAGGAGCCCCACACCCAAAGCCACTCCGTCTTGCCAGGGTTTAGTTTCAGCCTGTTGCTGCTCAACAGCCTCCAGGCACAGAGAAAGGGCATTGCTTAACTCACCCGGGCAAAGATGTACAGAAAAGTTCCTGGGGGGGCGGGTAGATGAGAAGGAAGCAAGTCGTTAAGGAAACAAAGGAAAAATGTCACCTGAACCAGACAAAGGAAGTTGGGCCTGAGCACATGGGACCCCCCCCCCATCCCATCAACAGCTACCAGATTTGTAAATTAACAAGGCTGCCAGTCTTGTGAATCAACAAAGCAAGGATGTTTGGGGATAAAAGGGGTCCTGAAGCCCGCCCACTCCTTGAGTCCTCTTTGGATCCAGAATTGGCGGCTTCCGTCCCTCTAGCTAGTGCCTGGCAGCCTAGTTGAGAAGGGCGTGGGTAAGTGGGGATGGGTGTGTGTGTGTGTGTGTGTGAGAAACAGCAAATGTGCATTCTGGCCAGTGAAGTTTTGCTGTTACTTTAAATCCGCTGGGTCTCCATGTATTCCAAAGAACCTGCTGTGCCTCAGGTTCGGCTGAAAGTGTGTGTGTGAGTGTGCCCCGAATTACTTCCCGGCTGCTGACCAGGGCTGTGCGCCTTGTCTGCTCTGCCACCCATCTGGAAAACCCAGGTAGAAGGCAAGGGGGGCTTGCAAGATCCGCCTGCCTCAACAGGCTGTGAGTGTGCGAGTGAGTGACCATAAGCCGAACCTGGAGTGCCTGGAGCAACACCCCGTATGGAGTTCTCCTCTCTTTCCTAAACCGTTAAAACCAGTGTGAGCAGGGGTGGCTGGAGAAAAAGAGGGTGGACAATGCTCAGAGGCATCTCGTCTTCTTGATGACTTCATATATTCCAGGTCCAAGTTAGTAAAAGACAAAGGGGTTCCGGGGGAAGAGCGAACTTTCCTACCCCTTAAACCTTGTCTTTGGGATCTGCCCAAAACCCCGTGCCAAGTGACCAGGAAATGCTCTCATACAAGCAGGTGCTTCCTCCCTGACAAATCTCACTCCCGCTCTCCTCTCGCTTGCTCTCTCACACACACACACACACACCCATGCACACACACTCATGGCCCTCCATCCCGCCCACCCGCTGCCAGCAGGCATTTAGGGCCACTCAATGCAAGGAAGTCAGCCACCGAACAGTATCGACCCAGGCTGCTTCTGAGCGAGCTGCAGAGATGGACTGGGGTGGGGTGGGGGCCTTTGGGCTGAAAAGTGGGGAGGTCGAGGAAGAAGCCAGCTTCGGGAAGACAAGCTCTGATTGGGGGTGGAGTGGGGGGCAGGCAGGGATGTCCAGCGACGCTGCTGAGCCAAAGTTTCCTGAGTTCTAAGCACACGCACAGTCCCTCTTCCTGAAAGCTCTATAAATAACCCCCCCTTTTGTCCCCCACCCCGTTCTTCCTGGTGGTGCTGAGCCAAGCAAAGCCAGGAAGGTCACCCACTCCATTTCCTTTCTATTTTGCCCCGACGTTATAAAAGACCCTGCCGGAGCCCGCAGGCTTTGAGGCTGGTTCTCAGAAGGCTACGGCTCCCGCAGGGTCTGGGGGGTCCAGCTGGATCTCTGCCCCCCAGCCCGCAGTGCCACACACCTGCTGGCAGGGACAGAGGCCGTTCATTCCTGACATCCCTGCAGGACAGGGGTGAGTATTCGAGGCTGGATCCATGGTTTGGAGAGTAAGCTGCAAGGGTTGGGTTGGTACCTCTAGCCATGTTCTCCCAGCCCCCTGTCGGGTTTGCCCCCCCTTAAGCCAATCTATTGTGGCTCGTGTCCATGTGGACCCAACACCTGGGAGCTCATGACCCAGCTCCCGGGGGGAAGGGGATCAAGAGATTTGGGGAGAACTGGAGATCAAATGGATTTCTAAGGGCGGAGCAGCTGGCTTTCCTGGGTGGGACTTTGTGGCGGGACTTGTGCATAAATGTGCCTCTTTTACCCCGTGCATCGCCCTCTCCCTCAAGGCCGGGGAGAAGAAATGAAGGCTTCATCTGAGGGACCGTGCCCATTTCAAGATCGAGCCGGGCTAAATTATCCCCAGCACCCCATTCCTCCCCACTCAGTAGCCGAGATGGGCTTTGGAAAGGCCCCTCAAAATTTGGTGGCCCTTAAGAGGACATCCTGCGCTGTGCACCTCTTCCTTGTGCGCAGCTGGAGGAAAGAGAAACAGATCTAGGACGGAGGAAAAAGGAGTGGGGGGTCAAGAAACGGGGGCTCTGGGAGGCAGGCATGTTGGGGAAGAGGCTGTCGCAATCCCAGAAATGGCCTTTCCACCGTCTGAGAGATCCAGATCCCTGAGTGCCCGTGATTGTCCATAATTGCCAGCTGTTAGGGACTGCAACCGAAGAGAGAGAATTGGATTTTCTGCATGCAGAGTAAAAGTCTGCTGTTTCGCCATGTCCCTTCCCCGACATTTAGGAGTTCAGCTCACGGAATTGAACTGGGAACGGAGACCAGTCACCAGAATCAAGCCGTGAAGTGCCTTTTGCTGTGAGCGTGCAGGCCTCTCCAGGGAACGAAGGGGTGCTCCTGCCATGGGAAACAAAGACTGGGCGCCTTTCCCGCTCTCCCTTTAGAGCAGTTTTTCAAACTTGGCCACTTGAAGATGGATGGACTTCAACTCCCAG